TGGGCTTTTTCTACATAAGAGCAGTTAAAACGTTCCCAAATGATCCCAGCCTGTGTGTTTATCACATAACAGAACAACAACCACACGCCTCTAATGTGTGATGGGTAAAAAACATACAGATCTTCTCATTTTCGTCGGCCCAGGTTGGATACACTGCATAGAGTATTTGCAGCTCATTATTGTTGAGGTGCACGTCTGGTTTCAGAGTAAGAGTTTAAAGTTTGAGTAAGTCTGGATGTTTGTCGGCTCCGTGGACGACGTGCTGATGCTGAGAGCTGTGCTGCTTTATGCACACTGTTCCTGAACTGATTACGAGGGGCTGCTGAAGGTGGAGGGAGGTGGAGGGAGGTGTGCCTCTGCACTCTGTGCACAAGTCTTTTATTAAAGATGTGGGAGCGTTCTGCATCAGAGACCAAGGCCACGAGAAATAACCCGACTGCACCCGTGCAGGCTGCCGTGTTGCACTGACGTGAGCGTGCACGCTGCTGTCTTTATTCCTGCGTTGCTATTTCAGCTTCAGCCGTGATTCATCCAGCACTTATTAATTAAAGCTGTTCCTGATCACCAGTTTGCTTCTCATAGTCCCTCCCACTCCCTTTGGCTCAGCTGTCTGTGTTTACCATATTGACAGTGATGCATATATGCAGCCTGAAGTCTGTTTTTAAGGTCGCTGAGCAGCCGAGGTTCCTTTCAGCTCGCTGCTACACATCTTTATGTATTTCTCATTTTCTCAGGTTTGTTCTGAATGATTTCTCTGCCCTTTCAGCTGCAGTCATCATATCGCTCCATATGCTCTATCTTAGGTCTCTGCTACAGCAGCTTTGTGTTCACACTTCAGAATAATCCTTCTGTCTATCAGCTGTCTCAGGCTTCATCCTCTGTCTGAAATAAGCTGTTGTAGTGTTTGCTGAGCGCTCTCTGTGTTCCCTCTCGTCTGCAGCGGTCAGTTTGCTGTGGTCAGAAGATGCAGACACAGGACTACAGGTGTGGAGTTCGCCGCCAAATTCATCAAGAAGCGGCGCAGCAAGTCGAGCCGACGAGGGGTGACGCGGGAGGACATCGAGCGCGAGGTGAACATCCTGAAAGAGATCCAGCACCCGAACGTCATCGCGCTGCACGAAGTCTTTGAAAACAAGGCGGAGGTCATCCTGATCCTGGAGCTGTGAGTTTGTCTTCTGTTTGTCAAAAAAAATGTGTAATTACATTTAAAACCACAAAAGGTCCAAAAACATCAACAAAGTAAACAAATAAAGAAGATTC